GAAAAGGCAAAAGGAACGCCTAGCAAAGGAAAAGGGAAGAATCCAACAGCCAGGCCACATGGCAAAGGATTGCCGAACAGCGGTGTACAAGATGTCAGAGACACCACAGGAACAGAACCAAGATGTAACAGCACAATGGTACGACCCAAACAATGGGTATGACAACTATTGGTACAGCAACGACCAATCAGGCAACTACAACACTCATCCAGTCCAACAACAACAACTAGCTTTGCCAGCACCACCAACAGACAATCAAACACCATCAGTCCAACTTGTGGCAACACTGGGTCATCAGGCAGCGAGTGCCCACAAGGAAACGACAACAATGCAAGCAGTTCAACAACAAAGAGGATACACAGAGGCAGAGATCATGATCGACAGCGGTGCAGCAGAACACGTTTGTCCAACATGGTTTGCACCAGACACACCACTGTATCCATTACAATATGGACAAGGTCCGAAGCTCAGGACAGCAACAGATGAAGACATCTCAGTGCATGGCTACAAACGGGTGTACATGCACAACACCAACAAGCAAACACTGGTTGTTCCCTTTTATGTGTGCGACGTCACACAACTAAACGAAACACCAACAATCACACACAGCAAGGATTCAACTCAGCACTGAGGCAACGTGAAGGCCTCTACTTCTTGCCAGTTACACTGGTAACACTGCCCGCCAAACAAACAAACAACAGCAAGAATAGCACCGGTTACACTCACACCAACAGGCATGGAGATCCTTCGAAACAACAACGATCTGTGAACATTCAACAGCCAGGGTTTCCTGGTAAGAGTCCACAGAACACAACGCAATGCACTCTTCATGCCAGACAGCAGATGTCCAGTTCCAACAGAAAGATTGGAGAACTACAGAAGGACAGTCATACAACGACCAAACAACAACACAGAGGTCACTGAAGAAGCATATCAAGACCTCGACAAGAAGCAACAGAAGAGAGTCATCCAAGGACACAATTGGACAGAAGAAACATGGTTCAAAGTGAAAAGGGGGACACCCCTTTCCAGGCAACATACCACCACAACCAGCACTTCCACCAGCCAAAGGGACAACACCAGCAACATCTCGACAACTTACAGCCGACGAACCACAAGCACCAATGTATCGACACAACGTGAAGAAGCCTCTCACTGAGGTGAGACCAACAGGTCAAGCAATGACCTCAACACAGACACACCAAACAACAATACCATATCCAAAAGAAGTCAGTCCAACACAGGACTATTGGATCAAAGAAGGTCCATACTGAAAACGTGTGCATGTCCAACCAAGAAGGGACATGCACATTCCACAACAAACAGATGATGGACCAGACGTGACAAAGCTGACAACATGGAGACAAACGATGGTGAAGCCAACAAGTGGCAACCTAGGATACAGAATTGACGATGACTGGACGACAAAGAGGAAAGCAACACTCGACATAGAGTGGACAGGCTCAACAAACTTTGAGGAGAACACAGCATAGAAAGATGAGTTCATCACAGATGACCCAGAGGAGCGACAAGAAGCAAAGAGAGCAACAGGAGCACCAACACCACAACAACCAACAGAACAAGAACGAAGAGAACATGAACTGACACACCTTCCATACAGAAGCTGGTGTCCAACATGCGTACAAAGCAAAGGCAGACAAGACAACCACCCAAAACAAACAAGCAAAACACCAGTGATCCAAGTGGATCTGATGTACTACAAAGCATTAGGAGAGAAACATACGACATCGGTCCTCACAGCAGTGGACGTTGAAACAGGTATGTGCATGGCAGTTCAACTGGAAGACAAGACCCAACACGTGCAATACCTGTCATGCCTACAACAATTCCTGATGGAATGTGGCAGAACACATGCAATTCTCAACAACACTGTCCTACAATCAGACCAGGAAGGCTTCATCATCTCCTTGCTCAAAATGGTGGCAACAGCAATGGGCAGCAACATAGCAGTGAAACAATCACCTGACAAGCACAAGGCAGCGTGGAACGATTCCACAGAACACTGATGGGCCAAGTTAGGGCCATCAAACTCCAACTGGAGAACAACTACGGCATCAAGCTCAACAGCAAGCATCCCATCATGACGTGGCTTGTGAAACATTCAGCATACCTTCTCAACAGGTACTCAATCCACTCCGAAGGCAACACAAGCTACTACAGACGATGGGGCAAAGAACACAAAACACCAATCTGTGAGTTTGGTGAAACAGTTCTTTACATGTTACCAACAGCAAAGCACATGCCAAAGATGGAGGCAAGGTTCTATCCAGCCATCTGGTTGGGTAAGGACACCTCAACAAACGAGAATATCATTGGCATCAGCAACAAAGTGGTCAAAGCAAGGACCATTCGAAGACAAATCAAACCAGACAAGTACAACAAACAGTTGATGGACACCATCAACTCTTCACCAGCCATGATACCAGTAACAGTAACAGCACCAAGCATTGTGGTACTACCACAACCTGCTGCAAGGAAGCAGCAGGCAACAACAAGCACTGAGACTCAGCAGAGTCCACAGCCAACAGTCACAGGACAACCACAAAACACACCACCACTAGCACTTACAGACCTTCCAATGGCAACAGCGCCAGCAACTCAGCAAGCAAAGCAACCACTTCCAATGCCAACACCTGCATGGCAAGCGAGAAGTAACAGACGAGATAGCACAAGGCAGCCCACCAAAGCAAGCAAGAACAACAGCAAGAGCAACAGCAGCCAGCAGACCCGAAACAGCTCAGGAGCCACCGACAACAAGAATAAGGATATCAAAAGTCACAGTCACAACAACGAAAGGACAGAAGATATATAGAAGCAACATCCAACGAAGATGAACAGGAGATCAAGACAGAGCAGATTCTCCTGGAACCTTGGGTGAACAACACCGAAGGTCTCGACAAAGAACAAACAATAGAAGGAGTGAAACAAGAATTCAAATCAATGAAGGAACAAGGTGTATACACAGAAGTACACAGCAGCCAACTCAGCCCGGAACAACGCAAGAAGATCATCAAGTCAAGATGGGTCCTTCGACAGAAAGGCAGCACAGTGCGAGCAAGGATAGTAGCAAAAGGATACACAGAGGAGATCAAGGACAACGACGACATCTTTGCGTCAACACCGATCTTCTGTGTCTTCACAATGCTACTGGTCCTAGTCCTAGCACTTTGCAACAGCTGGATTTGTCTGACAGGCGACATTTCAACAGCCTTTCTACATGCAGCAGCAGCAACAGCAGATCTCTTTATGTATCCACCAGCAGAGTTTTACAACGCCTATGACCAGATCGTCTGGCGGCTCAACAAAGCCATATATGGACTACGCAGCAATCCAAAGGCTTGGCAAAATCACCTAGCAAAGGTGATGCAACAATTGGGACTACGACGCCTTGTGAGTGAGCCCAACGTCTACGCAACACCTGGAGGAGACGCCTACATCCTATGCTACGTGGACGACCTCCTTTTCATTGGTCAACAGGAGACGGTCAACAAGCTGTTCCAGAACATTCAGCAACGCCTTTTACTACGTCCAACAGGAGAGCTCACAGTCGGCAACACCATCAGCTTTTTGGGCAGAAACATCTGCAACAAAGGTGACTACTGCGAGATCAGCCTAGCAGGTCACTACACAATAGAGGTGTTGGAAGAAGCCAACATGCTCAACTCCAACCCAGCACCAGCACCAGGCAACAACACTCTGAGAGCAACTTCAGAGATGGAACAAGAACTCAACAAAGAAGAACATGCAGCCTACCGAAGGATGGCTGGCAGACTACGATGGATGACATGCACAAGGCCAGACATTGGCTTTGCAACAAAGGAACTCGCAAGAGCATTGACACAGCCAACAACAGCAGACCAACAGAAACTGACACACCTACTCAGGTACATCAAGGGAACTCAACACTACAAGCAGTACGTGAGACCAACAATCAAAACACAAACAGCTGAAGCAACACCAGACATTCAGGTCTTTGTCGACAGTGACTGGGCCGGATGCGCCACAACAAGAAAGTCGACAACAGGCTTTCTGATCAAAGTCTTTGGAGCAACAATCCACTACGGCGGCAGAACACAGTCAACACAATTGCGCTGAGCAGCGCGGAAGCAGAACTATACGCGATCAACACAGGAGCAACAGAAGCCCTACACATCAGCAATCTCCTGAAAGAAGCTCTCAACATGAAGAAGATCAACATCCGCATCCACACCGACTCGTCAAGCAGAAAGAGCATGGCAACAAGAATTGGATCATCAAAGAAGGACAAACACATCGAGCTCAAACACCTGTTTATACAACAGCTGGTCGCACATGACCTTGTGAGGATTGTCAAGATCAACACCGTCAACAACCCGGCCGACATCTTCACCAAGTACGTTGCAACAGAGACGCTTCTGCGTCACATCAGTGATGTTGGGATCAACACCCATCATCACTCAGCTTCCAAACAACAACAAGCAACAGTTTCACTGCAGCTAGCGCGTTAATGTGCGAACGCGTGCACATCGTGCGAACATCGTGCGTGGCATGCACACACAGGCATACATCTTTTGAGCCATGGTGTCAACAAAGGTTGACAACATGAACTACCTCATAGTGACATAGTGATCCCCTATACTTCAACATGGAGTATATCAACAAGATATTCATACAGTATTTCAACATGATTTTCAATATGTACTACTTCATCATGCATGTCGACTACATGAGGGAATATAAGCACGTGTCCTATACAACATGTCGGTGATACACAACATGTCTTTTTGTGCAAGGTTTGGGGAAACCCAACATTTGACGAATTCAACATTTTGATGTACAGTTTTTGTGGATGTCAACATTTTGTTGACAACAGTGAGATCAACACCTTTGGTTCATCGCAGCCGTGACATCTTCAACAGATCGATCAATTTTTGCTCCAAATACCAGTCGCCAACAGTTTTTGACCTGGGCATCGAAGATGGCAACACTGGTCAACATCCATGACATGTGAGCCAACGATTCCAACAATGCCGAAGTTCACCACAGGAAGCCTTGGATTGCTCACACGGGCAATCAACATGTCCCGGACCGTGAACTCAAAAGGTTTGGGCCCAGATGAGTTCAACAACATGTCTTTTGACAACAACATGGACACCTGGTGGCTGGCGCTCCCAACAGCGCTCTACTCAGCCATCACGCCGGAGACAGAGTTGCCAACAACCCTGAGAGGCAACACGATGTGTCCTCGTTGGGACGAACTCATCATGAGTCCAACACCGTCCACAGCAATTTGCAACATGTTCTACCACGCCACAGAGTTGCACATTGAGAGCAACAACTGGCAACAAGCCAAATTGCTTGCATTGTGCACCAACAGCGCCCAACAGAAGAGACGCATCGGAAATGGCACAATCAACCTCTTCAACAGAGGGTACTTCATGGAAACACAAATGCAAGTTGAGGCTGGCCATTTTCTCAACTTGACCACAGATGAGTTTTCAACCGTCCAACTGTGGAGCATTACGGCCAACACCACTGGAGGCAACATTCTCCAGAAGATTGCCAATGCAACAAGTTGGCAACAACACACCTGTGCCCATTCAACAGGTGACTGGACCTCAACATGGATGGCACCAGGCCCTCATCAACGGCTTGGAGTACACCGGAATGCAAGCACTCAACAGGATGCCAACACAGGTTCAACAGCATTTGAACCAGGTCTCGGAGAACCAACATCCTCTCCAACAAGGCATTCAACTTCCATACTGGGGGGCCAAGACATCAGAGCGTTTTCGTGGCAACCCAACGATCCTGGAATTTGTCAATGCCAACACCAACATGGCTCAGTACAACATTGATTTCAACGAATACCATGGAGCAACAAGAGAAGATGCCAACATGGATGAAGAGACGAAGGGTTGATCCAACATGAGATCAACAAGTGGGAGAAACTGCAACTTCCCTGACTCAACAGCCTAAAACAACAGAGATGGTGATGAGCGCAACAGGCAGTCCAACACCTGAGAGTACCGACAAATAGATTGTATACTAACACGTTTCGGCAACAGTCTTTTGTCAATACCTTAGTTTAGCATTGTAAAGTGTACAGGTTGGCCGACCCAACATAGAAGCAACTTAATGTCGTTACGGTTCAACATGTTAGTAGTGAAATTTCAACAGAGTGATGTTTGAAAACAACATCCATCTGAGGGGCGGTGTTAAGAACCAACACACTCTCACAACATCAGTTGTGCCAGTGTATATATGTGCAACATCTTGGACCAACAAGGCCTTGAGCCTTTGTGCCAACAGTACAAAAGGTGCGTACAGCAACAGTTGCAACAGAGTGTCAACATCAGCTGCCTTGATTTTCACATACATATATATATACACGTATATATACATATATTATATATATACATTGAAAATACATCTATGTATGCAACAATCAGATGGGATTGGTGGACACTGGACACAAGCAGATATGATTTAGCGGCTTTTGCACACCACCTACATTGCATAAACACATGAGATGCTCCTGTACACTATGTAGCTGCTTCTGAAACAGTTCCATCATTGCCTACAACACTCTGCTATATCTGCTATTGTTAACCAGGACAGGCCGGCCCCCCTTCGCGACGAAGTCTTGTCAAGACAGCATTGCACAAACGATGCATAGAACCGGTTCAGCCAAGTCGCAAATGCCTGCTTTGACGATCTGCCAAGACTGACACGGTCTCATCACTGGGCTCGCCAACACCCAAGACTACCCAGCCATTCCTTGCGGGATGCATGCCCAAGACAAGCTAAGGGTAGATTCGGCTGACTGGCCAGACCTGGTTTTTACTGTTGAGTGTTGCCGACCGTGGCTAGAGGGTCCCCCCACACTGCCCAAAATCCTAATTTTTTGCAAGGCTTGGACATGGTTGGACCATGCAACTCTACGCAACATTTAAATGTATTTATATATATATATACACATTTACTTATTTATTTATCTATATATATATATTTACATATTTATTTATTTAGTTAGTTGTTTATATATATACATCTCAAAGTGTCATATGAAACAGATACTGTCTCGCGCTCCCGCAGCTTTCTTTTTCCACAGCTATGCCTATGCTCAGTCAATTTCACCTGCAATCCTCAGGTTTGCTTTGGGTTGTCACGATGTGACACGTACATAGCCCCAGACCAGTTTCGCCACTGGTCAGCTGCCTGGCAACCCAGGCTGGAACCTGCTCTGCAGGAATCACCCATCCCTTAACCTAAGGGAGGGAAGTCTCTCTTGGTCGCCCCAAGAGAGGATCCCCGATAGAGGCTATGTACTCGCCTGCCGTGCAGGCTCCCCTAACCTAGGCGGACATCTCCACGGGAGGTCGGCTCTTAGGGTTGGGAGGGTGGGGAAAGAAAACAGCAATGAATGCTATTTTGGTTCAAGTTTACTTGAGCCAAAATGGTAGCATTCATTGAAACACTTAAAGATGATACATGCACACCCAAGCCTGCCAAACTCAATGCATGGGTACATCTCAAAGTGTCATATGAAACAGATACTGTCTCGCGCTCCCGCAGCTTTCTTTTTCCACAGCTATGCCTATGCTCAGTCAATTTCACCTGCAATCCTCAGGTTTGCTTTGGGTTGTCACGATGTGACACGTACATAGCCCCAGACCAGTTTCGCCACTGGTCAGCTGCCTGGCAACCCAGGCTGGAACCTGCTCTGCAGGAATCACCCAATGCACTCAATTCCCAAAGCACTAAAGGTATTCGAAGGTGAGAATGACAGCTGCAAAGGGTAGCTGGAACAAGATTGTAGGGAGGTACGACGAATAAAATTCAAAACCATGGCATCGCCACCATGGATCATTGACGCCAAGTCGGCTGATATCGTCAGCCCAGTTGCTCTTGCTCTGGACGTACTCCCAATATCCTTGGGCTCGCAGTGCAAACAGAGCTAGATGGATCAAATGACCTAGCTTCGCTAAGTCGGCATTGCTAGAACGTCCTCTCACTAGCGTCATGACGGCTGCTACGTTGTCCAAAAACCATAGGCCGTGTCGGTTTCGAAACAGATCAGGCCTTTCGACAAGGGCGTAGAGCACCATAGATAGTTCCAGTTGGGCGATATGCGTCTCTGCAGGTTGCCAAAGTGTTCGGAGCTCTGCACAGTTGGTCGCGACAAAACTGTGACGAATTTGTGATCCGTCAGGCTGGAAAAAGATCAGGTGAAAACCTCCTGAACCAGGATTGTCTGCTTCGACAGCTGCGTCGGAGGCTGCCAAAAATCGCAGATGATCCAGGTGCAGAACGGGAAATTCCCGCTTTGGCTGAAAGCGCATAACCGCTTCGATCACCTCGAAGCATGCTTCAATCTCGGGGGTGATGGTCGAGGTTGTCTCGTCTTGCCTGGCTTTGATGGCCATGAGGCCGCCATATCCCACTCGACCGTAGATGCCCTGTTCCAGGAAATTGGCCAAGCCGTACAGCTTCGATGCTGCCCCTCGGCTGAAATGGCCAGTCACCCTGGCTGTTGCCAACATATCACGTACTTTGTCATGGAGCCGTTCTCGAGCCCAAAACTGTACGTGCCCTGTTTGGTTGATGGAGCTGAGATCATGAGTCAATCCCAAAAAGGTACCGGTGCTCTGCATTGGTTGTTTCTTGTCCTCTGCGAAGGGGGAGCCGATAAGAGAACACAATTGATTCATGGCCCATTGGCCTGACCCTTTTGAGGATTGCAAGTCTGTAATGGTCGCATCATCAAAGTACAGGGATGTCAAAACTCGGCAAAAACGCCTGGCTAGTGCCTCCAATAGTCTGGAAAAACGGTTGAATGATGTAACCGCCAGCGGCAGTCCGAAGAGTAGCCCAGCGTAGACTTGGTATGCAGGGGTTTGCCATTCGTGATGGTACCACACCACCACGCAGCCCAGACTTTCCTGCAATGCCATAGGGCAATACCTGTATGCTGAAGGCAGATCTTCTTGTCCTGTTTCCCAGGCATCGTTCGCGAAGAAATCGGCCATCTCATCCTCTGTCCAACGATGCATTGCAAGGCGAATGTGCTGGGCAGGACGCAATGGACTGCACAATGTGAGCTTGTTAGCATCAGACGACAAGGCTGATTGTCCTCCGGTGTCCCCATTGTCGATCACACGCTGCTTGCCTGAGCTCTGTGTGATCACGCAACGCGGGATCAATCGATGGGCCTTGTCGCCAATGGCCCGCAGGAAATCTGTCCGTCGCAAGGGCTCGGTGCAGAAACCATTCGCTGCGTCCTCCAATGACTGCTGCAGGAGGAACTCATCATCCTTGCCTGCTCTCAGCTGGCCCAAGATGTGCTGATTGTGTTCCTGCCATCCCTCCAACACATCTGCCATGCTGATCATCTCAGCTGGCTGTTGGGGGAATATCCCATAAGGTGGTGCGTAGCCCACTGCAGGCAGCCCACGGATCAGCCCATAGGGAAAGCTGGTGTCTGCCCAGGATGTCACCAGCATCAGCAATGCGATGAGCCCCACATCGCGGTGCCGTGTTACCTGCTGGACGGCCGGCTCCTGGAAGGATCGCAAGTGGAGGGTCACCCCCTCCCAGCGTCTCTTCAGCTCTCGCATGGCCCCGACTGCCTGCTGTCGCCACGGGCGCAACTGCTGGCCATGTGCCACATAGGTATCTGCTACGAACTCCAGGTCTAAGTCGACGACTGGGAGGTCTTCGTAGGGCAACGGGTGCTGGGCTCGTTGGACTGCTTGGTTGAAATGGTCCTCAGGATCCAAGTTGAACGGCAGCAGTGGGGGCAAAGCGGCACGGTGTGTCATCGCACCCACTTGGCACCCGTCCCCAATCCGTGCAAGCTGCCTCACTGACCCGGCAGCCAGATGCGGGACTAGGGGCCCGTCCCAAGCTTCTCCTCGCTCTGCAAGCCAGGTGGCATATGAGCAGAAGGGCGGGCTGTTGATGAGGTCTTCAATCATTGCAAACTTGTAGTTCTTGAACCAGTGCTCGGGGAAAAGCTTTTGGAATGCCAATACCAGTGCTTCTTGGCTCATCATGGGTAGGGCTACCCCCCTGGGGATAGCCTGGATCCCTTGCAACAATGCCACAGTCCTACTCCATCGGCCATCGGTGCCCCGCTGCATTGGGTCACCCCCAGGGGCGGTGGCATCGAAAAAGAGGCCAATGAGCATGTCCGCTTCGCACAGGTGCTCCATGGGGCAGTCGCACGCCAGCTCCATATTGCTAAGCTCATGCAAGGCGTCCCACAAAGGTGATGTTCGAATATGGACAATGTACCTAGCCGGCCATTCACCGGCTTCGCAGTTGTGGCCCGGTGTCCATGGCGATTTCCACTTGGTCGTCGATAGGCGATGATGAAAGCTGCCTCGGCCGACGTAGATGGTCTTGCGTGGTAGCTTGTTGTTCTCGATCATCACCTCCTTGACGAGCCTTCGGACCGGTAACCCCGATCGTTCAGCCCGCAAGGATTCTGTGAGGCCCAGCGTCACCGCCAGTGGTGCCATTGCCCACTCCCGCATTGCACGCGGGTCCATATCCAGCCAATGTTCACGGCGTCCGACTGACATGAACGTGGGCATGCGTGGGACATGCAGGACGGCTAGACCTGTGCGGACTGCCCACCAACTAGCCGACACTGCAATGGCAAAGGCAAGGACTGCTGTGTACTCTGCCTCTTCTTTGGATGGGTAAAACCGCTGGCCGTCGGAGGTGTAGGGGGTCCATTCCTGTGGGTCGTGCACATGGTGGCAATTGGCTGGGGGCCAGCGTTGGATCTCCTCCACATTGTGTCGTAGCACTTGATGCTTGCAACGCGCCCCACCCAAAGTACATGCCGCGTAGGCTGTGTCGAACCATTGTCCCGATTCCCACATAGTCACCTCTGTGGACGTCCACCAGTG